CCAGCTCATAATTGTTAATAACAAACCTTTACTAACTAATTCTTACCTGGCCCCAGCCTGGATCAACAGTTATTAACAATCCAACACACCGACAAACTCTCCACACCGAGAGCATCAGCAAGAGTCTTCCTCCATCGCTGCCGTCACCCTCTAACACAAACCAACATGACATCCTTTGTACCCATCGACCACTTCACCAAAACTACACTCACAGCTATTCCCCCTGATGAGAAACCAAACTACAACAGTCTCAAAATCATCCACCAAGAGCTAAATGCCAATGCAATGACAATCCCATCCGCCCTCGGAGGAGGACATTATGGACACCTTGCATTGGTGCTACAGCCCATCACCTACAACGACCTACCAAATACCATCCCTTGGGAAAACCCAGAACATCCAGGTCCAGCCCCAGACCACGGGGTAGCACCAACAGGACCCCAAATCACCGAAAACAATCGAGTATATGCCGCCAGAGAGCAACGTTTCCTCACCTACAGAGCTACTGAAACAACGCTCCAGAAGCAACTACTGGAAGCAGTTCCAGATACATTCACCAAAGCGTTGAAAAATGAACTCTATGGATACGCCCAAGTCACCGTCCGCGCCCTCCTAGAACACCTCGACACCAAGTATGGCAAAGTAGATGCCGACGACCTAGTCGATAACATCAAGAGAATGGATGCAAATTGGAGCCCCGATCAACCTATCGAAGATCTCTTCAATCAAGTCAAGGACGCCCAGAAATTTGCAGCCGACCATGATCCTATTACAGATAAAATGGCAGTCCGCGCAGCCATCGCAAACCTAACCAACAGTGGAGTCTTCACCGACGCCATGAAAGATTGGAGGAAGAAAGAAGAAGAAGACCAAGCCTTCACCGACTTAGAGAAGCACTTTACATCCGCCGATAAAGAACGACGACGCATCCTCACTCCCAAACAAGTCGGATATGCGAACAAAGCGACGGAGAAACCAACCAAAGGAACCGCGAACAAATCCCAAACCGGAGGCATCCCCATGTACTATTGCTGGTCCCACGGACAGGGCCCAAACAGCAACCACACAAGCAACACCTGCACCAAGAAACTCCCTGGCCATCGCGATGAAGCTACAGCTGACGACATGCTCGGCGGATGCTGTGTCATCCACCGTAGGGCTGGTGAGAAAGCAGTCTACAGGCGCCCTCAGCGCCCCAGCCGTGAAAACGAAGAGAACCAAGTTCCACCAACCAACACCTGAGCAAGACGGGAGCCATTCATGAACGTATCAAACAACAAAGAAAAAAGTAAACCAAATAATGCACGTAATATAGTAAAAGCGGATAAGTTAAAAGAACAAAAGATACAAGAACAAAAAGATGGTCCCCCGAATCAAATAGCAACCACAGACACAAACGACGCGACACCTATAGTCGCAGATACAGGCAGTACTGGACACTTCTTGTCCACGGACTTCATTGCAGTCAGCAATGAAAACATAATTAACATCAAACCGAATCCAACCCCTATACAGGTCACTCTCCCAGACAACTCTGTCATCATCTCTACACACACGTGCAACCTCGACCTACCGAGTCTCCCCAATACAGCCACAAAGGCCCACTTGTTTCCTACCTTGGGAACAACCTCCCTCCTTTCCATCGGACAATTATGTGATGCTGGATGTGAGGCAATCTTCCGAGCACATCAATGCATCATCTCTTTCATGGGCGACACCATCCTCACCGGCAACAGGAGCTTATCCACAAACCTATTATGGGAAATCGATATGCCACCTAAACCAGCAACCAAACAAGAACGAGCCAATCTTATGGCAACAACACCTACAGCCAAACCAGCAGACCTAGTCGCTTTTGCCCACGCAGCTTTCTTCTCCCCGGCACTATCAACCCTCAAGGAAGCACTCACAAAGCAATACATCACGAACTATCCAGGGCTTACCCTCGAAACTTTCAACAAATACACCCCACATTCCATAGCCACCGCGAAAGGACATATGAACCAATAACGCCAAGGCATCCAATCCACGAAGACGGACCCAGAACCACTACCTCTGCTCCCAGAACACGAGGAACAGTTCCCACAGCATTCCGAAGTCGACACCGCCGCACCGAACCAAGTCAGTTATGCGGCCGTCATCCAACCAACAGGAAAAACGTTCTCCGACCAAACCGGCAGGTTCTTTATACCGTCCAGCACCGGAAACAACTATTTGTTCATCCTCTATCACTATGATAGCAACTCGATTCATGCAGAACCTATGCCCAATCGCACAGCCAAAGCACATGTACAAGCATGGACGACAATCCACAACCGACTCGTTAAAGCCGGTTTGCGACCAAAATTACACGTCCTCGACAATGAGTGCTCCAAACTCTTGCGGGACCACATCCATGAAGAAGGAATACAACTACAGACAACACCAGCCGGCATCCATCGTCGAAATGCAGCCGAACGTGCCATCAGGACCTACAAGGACCACCTTATTGCTGGACTCTGCACGACCGACAGCAACTTCCCACTACACCTTTGGGACAAACTCATCCCACAGTGCACTATCACACTCAACCTCCTCAGAGGCTCTCGAATCAATCCGGCGCTGTCCGCCCATGCCCAAGTCTTCGGCCATTTTGACTTCACAGCAACACCCATTGCTCCCCCAGGAATGCATGTTGTCGTGCACGAAAAACCAAAGGAAAGAGCCACTTGGGCCCCAAAGGGCAAAGATGGATGGTATATAGGACCTGAATTACAAGCCTATCGATGCTTTCGCACCTGGATATGGGACACACAAAGAGAACGGAAAGCCGACACTCTCACATGGTTCCCAGAACGCCTACAGACACCAATGCCAACACAACTAGATATGGCCATCGGTGGGCTACAGGATATTGCAAGGGCATTACAACAACCAACAACCAATCCACCAGCACATGCCTTCACCGACAGCGATGCAGCCACACTACTGGACCTCGCACACATCTTCGACAAACGATTAGGCAACACCATCGCACCGGAACCGACGAACAGCACAGACAATAGCGAACCGAACGACGTCACCGCCAGCCCACTTCTGAGGGTGCCGGACCAAACATCAACGTACACCAAAGCGACCAAACACCGAGGACGCAATCGCAAACAACAACCAGCACCCACCCAAGCAGACACGGCACCGCCCCCAATCGCGAATGCGACAGAAGCACCACCACACTACGACTACAAAGTACTCAAAGACTCGTCGGATGGAGAACATTGGATCAGTGCTTGCTGCAATGAAATGGGACGATTAGCCCAAGGACGTGCCGCCACGGGGCTCAAAGGAACAGATACCATCAGGTTCATCCCACACACGGCAATACCAGCCGACCGAAAAGCAACCTATCTACGGGTCGTCTGCGATGACAGACCACAAAAAGCAGAGAAGCGACGTGTCAGATTTACAGTAGGAGGAGACAGAATCGAATATCCCTTCGATGTCAGCACCAAAACAGCCTCACTCACCACAGTCAAGCTCCACCTCAACAGTGTCATCTCCACACCGGAGGCAAAGTACATGACAATGGACATCAAGGACTTCTACCTGATGACTCCCATGGAACGACCGGAGTACATGCGCATCCCCGTGGATATTATTCCAGACGAAATCATGGACCAATATGACTTACACAAACTAGTCCACAATGGCTACGTCCTTGTGGAAATCATTCGCGGCATGTACGGCCTTCCACAAGCAGGACGCATCGCCAACGATGCACTCATCATCCACTTGAACCAACACGGATACCATCAATCTAAACACATACACGGTCTATTCAAACATAACGACCGACCAGTTTCATTCACACTTGTCGTGGACGATTTTGGTGTCAAATACGTCGGCAAAGAACATGCCCAACACCTAATCGATACCGTGGCAAGCGCATATAAGATCACCACAGATTGGGATGGAGAACTCTACTGTGGCATCGCATTGAAGTGGGATTACCTACAGGGCACAGTGGACCTATCCATGCCCGGCTATGTCTCACGAGCCCTCCAACGATTCAACCACCAACACCAACACGCCCGGAACATGCTCCACATCGATGGAATGTACCACAATACGGCCAACCCATTCAATACACCGAACCTGAGGATGCATCGACACCACTACCACCCAAAGGAGTGAAACACATTCAGGAAGTAGTGGGTGTTCTCCTCTATTATGCAAGGGCAGTGGACTGCACCATGTTAATGGCCCTAGGCGACATAGCAGCCGAACAAACCAATGGCACAGAAAAAACTCTACAATCTACAATCATGTTACTCAATTACGCTGCTACACACCCCGACGCAATCCTTCGGTACAGCCGCAGCGGCATGATCCTCCATATGCACTCCGATGCCTCCTACCTCTCAGCTCCAAAAGCAAGATCACGTGCAGGAGGTTTCTTCTTCCTCAGCAATGGCAGCATAGACGACGCACCATCCAACGGAGCGGTCCATGTCATAGCCAAAATCATGAAAAATGTTCTTAGCTCTGCAGCTGAAGCTGAAGTAGGAGCAGCATTCAACAATGCACAAGAGGCTTGTCCAATCCGACAAACCCTCATTGAAATGGGCCATCCACAGCCTGCCACACCCATCCAAACCGACAACAAGTGCGCTGAAGGTATCCTCACCGGCACTGTCAAACAAAAGAGATCCAAAGCCATCGACATGAGGTTCTACTGGCTCAAGGATCGCATCGAACAAGGCCAGTTCACCATCTACTGGAGACCTGGCATAACCAACAAAGGAGACTACTTCACCAAGCACCATCCTGCAACACACCACAAGACCGAGCGCTCGAAGTACATACATGACAACAAACTGGCTACCAATCTACCAGATATGACAGCAACACAACCACCAGTCACGGGCTCAAGCACGTAATAGTGTGAGGGTGTGTTGATCTGGCACCAGGACCCTTAAGTCTTTGAGTCCTGTACCAGATCCCTACCACTATTAAATGCTAGCAAGCCCATCTCCTGGCTCCCCCTGCTCGCAGGACTCCACATAGGAGCCAGAAACCGTTAGCAGCTGTTAGAGTTGGCACTCCCCAGCTGGGCCTGTGTGCTCCAGTATGGGGACATTTACCTAGAAACTACCAGCTCATAATTGTTTTAATAACAAACCTTTACTAGTCTAACTAATTCTTACCTGGCCCCAGCCTGGATCAACAAAGATATCGGACCCAGCACTTGGGACATTTTTGTACGCTGATGAAGACGTACACGTATTTGCCGCCAAGCATTCCGTGACGGGCTGGAACGTCGCTATATGAGGGTAAAGATCTCGTAAACAACACAAATGTAAAACGTTTGCTTCTGTCACTACAGTTTTAAACAGATATATATGATGATGGCCCCAGGAAGGCGATGATGGGATTGGCCACACATGGAAAACGAACAAGACGAAGTAACCAATACCGGCATCGCCGCCGTTGCATGCACAATTGGAGATCCCAAGAGGCAACCGTCCAACGAAAGAAATACACGAAATCAAGTCACAAAGAGTAGTGGTAACACAAACTATACGGAGGATACGATTATTGAAGAATGGAGGACCACCAACAGCTCCAGCACACAGAAGCGTATTACTTTTTCAGAATCTCAATCGGGAAGCCGTGCAAATGCAAGGCCCCGGCCATGAGTTCGTCATTCCAGCTCTGTGTGTCCCGTTTCACGTTAACGACTTCCTCCATCTGTCCATGCTAAAGATGCATGTCTGCGTTTTCTCGCCAATGCAATATCGTAGTCAAGCCACCAAGTAAGTCTTTGTCCACTAGCTGGCTAGCTAGCTAGCTAGCTAGAACATTCTCAAGGAACGTCCCGACTTTTGCTTGGCCAAAAAGTCCTGGTGGTACTCTTCGCCACGATAAAACTTGGTGACGGGTTCCACATCCACAAAGATGGGACCTTTTTCTTTGTATCGTTCCTCCAATTCCGACACAAAGTCTTGTGCTTGAGCCAATTGTTCGTCGTTGAGAGCAAAAATGGCCGATCGGTATTGCGTCTTTTGCTGCACAAAGGGATAATCCATGCCACTCCATTCCTGGAGAATATCTCGATACGAGAGTTTGTTGGGGTTGTATTCCACGAGTAGAGCTTCCGTGTAATCCTGAATGTTTTGGTAGGTTGGATTGCGAGCCTTGCCGCCACTGTATCCCACCACACATCCCACAACTCCATCCAATTGCTTGAATTGGAGTTGTGGGTGCCAAAATCACCCGCATGCCAGACATGCCACCTCATTGCCGGGTGTGGAAGGTTCCAATGGCAACGACGGGCAGGGGTTCACCATGTTCAGGCGACTGTTGCTGCGAACAACAGCATTGCTGTGCGGTGGCACAAAGGAATGAATGGAATGAGGGAACAGCAGTGACAGGAACATCACCAAGGCCGTCGCGGCCACAGGAGACGACCGGGAAGGCAACAACGAGGCTGCCATGGTCGAGATCGAAGAATGAGTAAGCTTTGCAGTGGAAAGAAAGGATGAGGTGACGTGGCTTTAGTCACCCCCATGTTCAATCCCCCCCTTTATTCTTGCAGGTTTGAACCCCTCAAATCTTCAAATCTCGCTCCATCGTAATAAAACCCATCCTCGTTCCCAAACGCTCCCCATAGGGCACTGTACGGGTGGCCCAGCACCCCGCTTTGCCACTCTTCCATACGGAGTTAATCATTTTTGTTTTAAAGCTCTTTATACGCTACTGTACTACAGTCGCTAGCTAGCTAGTGGGCTCGTGCTGACGAATCGAATCGAATCTGCCACTCCTGTCCCATAGCATTCATTTCTCCACTCGCTCGGGTCAGCCGCTCCTCACGCGCCATCATTATTTCGTGGACAAGGATCATATTCACAAGAAGGAGGGGACCTCTCGACCCCGGTTCCATCAGGACATTTCTTGACATCCAATGTGCACACAATAATAGGGGCATCTGGGCAAGGATCAAAGTTGCAAAGAGGAGGGGACCTGGTAACAAAAGATCCATCAAAACATTCTTGGCGATCAGTTGGGCAGACTATAACGGGGGCTTCTGCTTGCTTAAGCCGACGAAGAGAAGATTTTGTTCTTCCCCGAATGTTCACGGCTTGGGCGGGTGCTGCATGAGGTTCAAACGGAATGGTGTCCCCAGCTAGAAGATGGGAAGCAGTGCCTGCGTTAGCTTCTGCTGCAATGGGAACGGTGGCGGCCAAACCAAGCATCAACGTGGACGTAATCATGAGTTTCATGGTGCCGGTAGAACAGAAGTAATGAAAGAAAAGGTAAAAGAGTGTGAATTAGGGGTCTTCAATGTAGCTCTTTCAATCCACTTTTTTGGCCCATTTTTTTTCTTTTCTGGGGGAGGCCAGGAAGGAGCTGAAAAGAAGGGTCGGAGAGGCAAGAAAAGAAAAAAAAGTCACTCCTCCGAAAGAACACCTTTTTAGATGTTCTTTCGCGCAGAATTTTTCTTTTTTCACTCTTTGGGTCATCTTCTGGGCTTCCCAAGACCCAGGAACTCTGACGCATCAGATATTATTTAAAGTCAGGAAGAACAAGCTACAAGGGAAAGCATTAACATCAAGGCTTGAAAGAAGCTTGAAAGAAGTCATTCGAATGGCTTGTGACCTATTCAACTGAAAGCACGTCGTAACATGTTTACAAGGGTCATGTTTCCCCTCTCCGCACCTCTCCGGTTCCTGCACTGGATCCCCTTTCCGCTCGATCCTTCCCCTCTTCTGGCTCCCCCAGAAAGGAAAAAAAATGGGCCAAAAAAGTGGTTTGAAAGAGCAACATTGACCACCCCTATTGCTGGTGAAGTGAACAAGTTTTGGAAGATGTTGTTGGGGTGTGGAAACCTTACAAAATTTTATTTGTGGCCAGACCGTGCCGAGGATTAGGGTGCGTCCAGACCGCTCAGTTATTGGGATTTTGACGAACCTTTGATTTCAAACTTTCTACCTGGTAAAAGCTTTTTTACACAAAGAACCGAGTGCTTTACAAAACTCGATGTCAATGTTATAGTCTACTTTCGTTTTTTAAAACTCAAGAACTCTTGCGGCCAAAATACAAAAGCGGTCTGGACACACTCTTAACCACGATGCAGTCATGCAGTCATTTGGTCTTGTTCTATCTGGTGCATGCACGGTTGGTCATCGCGTCGCGTCTCCATCGTAATGTACCACCAGTAAAAGTAGTCTAGTAGACTGGGCTACATGTACTGTACTCTGACGATTTAGTCCGGATCCAGAGTTTTTGATACAGGCTGGCTTTGTTTCGCAAGCACACACAGAGTCAGCCTGTACACCTTTGGTTTAAGATATTTTGACCTTGGAAAGTTTTGCGAATGTATTAGAGGTGCGTAAAAGACTTAAAGAATATTGTTTAGCCTCAACCCTACCCATACCCATCAACCAACTGGCACTGCGACAATACCATTGTGGATTGATTAATCTAACGATCTAAGAGATGTAAACTTTGTATTTCCAAATAAGTGAGCAGTTATTGATTATTTTCTAGAATAAGCCTGCTAATTGTAAAGCTGTAAAGCTGAATTGTAAGCTGTATCCCGTCGCACTCCCTTACAGCTGAAATGAAGCAGACCATGTTTGTTTATTCATAAGGAGCATCAACTCATGTATTAAATTATTGTGATGACCAAATCTGGCTCAGTCCAGACAATGATCTGATTGAGTCCTATGTTGGGCAGCTCCAGAAACTTGGATATGATCTCACCATGGAAGAAAAAGGTGACATCTTTGGATTCCTCGGCATTAATTTTGAAAGACAGGAGACAATGTGAGCTTACTCAAAAAGGGCTCATCAATAAAGTCCTCGAATATACTGTATGTCTGACCTAGCAAAAGCTTTCTCCTGCGCCACCGATCCTCTCGGAGCTGACAAACTGGGGGCCCCATTTGAAGAAGAGTGAGCTATCCAGCTGCAGTTGGGATGCTTCTTTATATTGCGTCGAACACTCGCCCAGACATCACATTTAGTGTGCACCAGGTAGCACGATTCAGTCACAATCCCAGGCATTCCCATGCTCAAGCAATCAAACGTATCATCCGGTATTGATTGGCACAAGTGACAAAGGCATTTGTTTAGCCCTAAACTTGATCAGGACTTGACTGTTGGGTCGATGCTGACTCGCCGGATTGTATGGGTATGAGGATGAACAGGATCCTGTGTCCGTCAAGTCTCGCACTGGATTTGTCCTGACTCTGTTTGGGTGCCCTATTATCTGGTCCAGCAAGCTACAGACTGATATTACTTTGAGCTCCACTGCTGCTGAGTATGTTGCCTTCAGCATGTCAATGAGGGAGCTGCTTCCTATGCGAGCTTTGCTCAAAGAAATTGGTAGCAAACTGAATATGCCGGTAATTACTGACAGTCTCGTGCGCTCTACAGTGTTCGAAGACAACCAAGGTTGCTTGTCTCTTGTGAATGTTCCCAAAATGTCTGCGCGCAACAGTATTTGGCATTGAAGTACCACTTCTTCAGGTCCAATATCGGGGAGTCGAAGGCATCGTGGCTAAGTATATTCCGACTCTGGAACAACGGGCCGACATTTTCCAAGGGTCTTCCGGCTCCACAGTTTCTGTCATTCGGAAGCTCCTCATGGGATGGTAATTTACCTCAGCATTTTGCTGGGGACTCTCTCCTATCGTTTCTTGCCCCAGC